GCGCATAGCATGATAACAATGAGCGAAGATGAGCGATGAGAATGCGAGTAAGCGAAAGTGAAGAAAAATGCGAAAAGTACCAACAATAGTCAAAGCGATGTTAAGCGAGGAATGACAAAACAAAATTCAAGCAAGAAAGCAATGAACACCAAATTGTTAAGCATTAAGGTGTGACAAGCTGTAGTTGGAGATGTTAGCATATGGCGAAGAAAATTATGTACGGCCAAGTCCTTAACAAGGTTGTTAGAATATAGTCTGATGAATCTGTAATATACGATTAAGAAAAAATATTTAAATAACTAAATACTTAAAGAAATTCATATTTCACTATATACCGCAATTTTCAGCCAGATGCAAATCTGCTAATAACTTTTTGCTGTGCATATTTTCTCGGTAGTATACCTCAATTTTCGTTTTAAAAGCTTCCCATTTGCTGCGAAGCATAAGCTCTTTGCCCGGATAAAGAATGTTTAAATCAATTTTAAACTAACAGAGTATAAAACAAAAGTTTGGGTAAACACATTAATTACATATTTTTTGTCGGAACTAGCCCAAAAAAACGCGTGTAGATAACAGCACTAACTACATCACAGTTTTTGTTGTTTTTTCCGACAGGGTAAGATGATGAATTTTGAAAACGAAAAATTATACTTTAGCTGGCACAATGCCAAAACCGATTTGTCCCCAAACCAAATTGGACAAGGGATAACGGAAATTGGTTTCAAAATACATCACAATAGTTACACGTACATATGTATGTATCTTACCAAATCAATAGCCCTGCTGTCGCAATATTTTGGCCATTCCTTGAGAAATCTTACTGCATCATAGGTTATTAAGTCTCTCAGACGCAAATTATGAGTCTTATGCCATTTATCAATAACCGCGTTCCAATCTGAATAGTCTCTTTTTAATTCAGTTTTCAATGCAACCGAAATGGTTTCGTCGAACTCGGCTTCAAAAGTTAAACTATCATCAACCGGTTTAGGCGATGCTGGTGCCTTTTCAGATTTAAAGCGTTTTGCCCTGCTATTAGTATATTTCGCATACAGTTTTCCGCCAGGGTTTTTCCTACCATTCCGGGGAATAAAGTAAAATTCCTAAAAAGATAAATCGTTTCAAAACCAAGATGTGCGAAAAGTTTTTTTTTTCGCTAAATGTCCGTTGGCATTGACTCTTGCTTCACATTCCGGAGGGAAAATTGAAACAATTTGATTGATAATTGACGGGTAGTCTGAAGTTCTTATCCGGACTTCATTGCAGTTTACTTCTTCCACTATCAATGCGATAAGTTGCTCTCTATAAATATTTGATAACTGCGATTTTTTTTCATAGTAACTTAATATTGCTTTGCCCCTTGAACAGTTTTGCAAAATAGAGCGAACATCCTAAAAATTTTGTTGAATAATAAGGACCAATACTTAAAAGAACGGAAGATATTTACCAGTAGGCTTTTAGCTTGATCGGATTTTCCAAGTGAATCTGGAGTTGTACTTGATGGTATTGATTTCTCTAGCCAAAATTTTACTTTGGAATCCACAGAGATGGTGTCGTCATCAATGTTGAACTATTGAAATTTTTGAACATTTAAAAAGTTTATTACAATCTGTGAAAATCCTACAGTAATTTTTTTAAATTTTTTTTTAATATTTAGTTTTATTTAAATTGTTTTTAATAAAATTATAGTTCACAAAACAACAAAACCCATATAAATCAAAGTTTATAACTTTGTAACAATGAAAAAAAAGTCGTCAACTCTTCATCAAAATTTCCCACTTTTCATTCAGAACTTTTACTTTTTCGGGGTATACAGTTTGGGTACACCGTTGATTTCAGAAATTGAATGGGCTATAAAACTGTATACCCAAAAAAAATCTGGAAATTCTGAATAAAAAGTGATATTTTAATGAAAATTGTACGATTTTTTTTTTAATTGTTACAAAGTTGGAAACTTTGAGTTATATAGATTTATTTATTTATTTAGTGTTTAAAACCTAACTACGTTGTGTGAACTATATTTTTATTACAAATAAATAAAAGTTAAGTAAAACAAATTAAAAAAAAAAATTAAAAAAAAATTTATTGCACGATTTTCACTGACACTCACTGTAAGTGGCAAACAATATAATTCTGAATTTTGTTGCAAATGGTATGCCCGATACTGTAGGTTGGGGGGTGACCTCCCAGATAAAAAAAATACCCCCATAAAAGTGTCACCGTTTTTGATATATGGATATTTATTAATTTAAAAAAAGTATCTGGTATTTTCATCTGTTTCCTTAAACTGTATGTATAAATAGGGCTATTCTTTGTAAATTTTTTCTGTAAAATACTTTCAGATAATTGCGTTTCCATATTAATTAAAAAATATATATTTTCAACTGACACTTATAGAGGTAGAATTTTGTTTTATCTGGGAGGTCACCCCCACCAGCCCAATCCTTAAGTTTGTCGTAGTATTTATTGGACACCAAGTATGCTTGTACATTTTTGAGCAAACTACTTGAGGTGCGAATTTTTTATCGCGGCACTTACCTCTGTTTTACGCCAAGCAAACAGCTTCTGCCTGAATTCGGCTCGTAACTCAATGTTGGTTATAGCACAGTGATGAAATTGATGGTACAATTGTACTTTGTTGGTACATTTTGGAAGCCAAAAGTACAATGGTACTACATTGACATTTTTGATACATTTTTGTCAAGATACGGTACTGCAGCACAATTATGTCGAAATACCACACTCTATTTACTTGGAGTTTTGAATTTTTGTGCATAAAAATATAGTAATATTTTTCTATCGTATTTAAGTAAATACGTGGTGTTTATTAAAAACGAAACACTTACTTAAATAAAAAAAAAGTAGCTGTCATAATAGGTCTATTCATAAAATTTTCCAGTGAGTACTAGCAGCCAGAGAATAAAATAATCATAGCGAGTAAAATTGAGGGGAAGACTAAAATATGAGAAAAAGTTATTGAACGCAAAACCAGTAAAAACGTGGAACTTACGCCATTCTGACTTTCTGATAGGTAAATTTGGTAGGAGTATTTTTGTATTCTCCACACAAAATCATCCAGCAGCAAAAATGCTTAGCAGTTTGCAAAATTTGCAAAAAACTTGCAATCTTCGCAACAGCTGATAACTTTCACAGTTGCAATAGATGGTTCATTTGGTAATTTATTATCCGCTTGGTACATTGTCCCCAATTTGGAATTTTTTTACTATTGAATACTTTTGTATAGGAAAAATGTTCTTAACATATAAATTAATTATCTCGGAATGAATAAGTTTTTTTCTAACAAATATTTTTGATACCACCTTATGACGCGTTCAAAAATAAAAGAATCTCCTCCAAGCACCCTTCCTTGTTTCACAAAAATTAAGTAGATATAGCTACAAATGTGCCTTTAAAATTATTGCATTTGCGTTTTAACGATCAACTGACAAATTCGGCCAGAACCTTGCAGCATTATTTATTTATTTATTTGTTTATTTATTTATTCAATTCAATTCATCAATTAGAGTACATCTCAGATAGATTACTAAAGTTAAATAAGAAAGAAAAGGAAAAAAAATCTATAAAATAAGTAAATGAGTAATAAGGTACATGTACAAAATACAAGGGTATGTAAATGTGCATCTGAATAAAAAAAGATTATTTACAATTTAAGAAATTCAGAACGAGAATAAGTTTAGACTTAAAGCTCTCCCGAGAATTTGAGAAAACATCTAAATTTTTACAAATTTGGTTAGTCTGCCTCAGACAACGCGTAAGCGGCTCATTAAACTTAAAGTTGGTCTTGTGATTAGGTAAACGGAACATGTCGCTGAATCTGAGATCCCGAACAGGACAATTGAAAAGAATTAGTTCGAGCAAGAAGTGGCACTTGACGTGGCTGGTGACTATGTCCCTAATAATCATGATTGAGGACATTTTTCTACGCATTTCTAAAGTAGGTAATGCCAATAAAAGGCACCTACTCTTATAATCGGGCATGTTGCAATTCCACCGCAGGGAGTGAATTGCGTATCTGGTAAAGCGTTTTTGGACCTTCTCTACCCTTGAAGATGAACCCGAGTAGAAGGGATCCCAAATGATGCTACAATACTCAAGGTTCGATCTTACAAATGAGAAGTACAAGCTCTTAAGTGTGAAGAGGTCTTGAAATTCATTAGAATTCCTCATTACGAAGCCAAGCATCGACCTAGCCTTGGGGATCATAAAATCTATATGTTTAGAAAAGGACATTTTCGAAGTAAATATGACTCCCAGATCTTTCTTTTCATAAATTTTAGTTAGAGAAGATGTGTCTAACCTATAGTGGTAGTCGACTGTTTGCGTCTACTGAAGGACATAAATTGACATTTACCAACGTTAAGAGGCAAAGAGTTAGCATCACACCATGAGTTCAGTCTTAGCAAGTCATCTTGAAGATTAATGCAGTCGGACACGCTTACTATGCGACTGTATAACTTTAGATCATCAGCATACATTAAACAATGCGATGTAAGGAAAACGTCCGGAATATCATTGACAAAAACCAAGAAAAGTAACGGGCCCAGATGGCTGCCTTGAGGCACCCCTGAGGTGACTTTAATCACATCGGATTTAGTATTATTAATGCGAACGAATTGGGTCCTATCAACAAGATAGGATGCAAACCACTTAAGCATATTTGCGTGCACTCCGATTAATTCCAGCTTTTTAAGTAGTAATGAATGACTAACCTTATCAAATGCTTTCGAGAAGTCTGTGAATATGGCATCGCATTGATGACCGTTTTCAAATTGTTTTAGAACAAAATTTGAAAATAACGCTAAGTTTGTAGAAGTGGATCTACCTTTAATGAGTCCATGTTGATAGGGCGATATGAGCTCAGAAATTTGGAAAATAATCTTATCGTAAACTAGCTTCTCGAAGAGTTTAGGTATGCTTGGAATTTTACTGATTGGACGATAATTTTGGACGTCGGACTTGCTCCCAGACTTATGGATAGGTGTGATGAGGGACCTTTTCCAAATCGGTAAGAATTCACCTAAATTTAGGGATTTGTTAAATATTTTGGATAATGGTAATGCTAACGCTGGCGTACAGCTCTTTAACAAGGAAGGGGGAAAGCCATCTTCACCAGGATTCGGGTCGTTTGGCAAGGCTAAAAGGCCATCTAGGACTTCATCTTCTGAGAGCTGCAATCCTTTAAGGACGAGTGTGCATTATTATATATTTTGGTATATTTATGGGAAAAATATGGTACAATTGAAAAATTTTATACAGCAGCACGGAAAATAGAAAATTAGAGATTAATAGTCAATTAACTAAACTGAACTTTTCTTCCTTTCTTTTGTTTATTCACGAACACATGTTTGTGGTGAACAGACTTTTTTACTTGTAAGTTTTCGCAGGTAAAATTTTTCCAACAGAAAGTGGCAGATTTGAGTGTCATTTTGCGCTCTCGATTTTCCCCACTTTGCAAGATTTTAGGTACGAGAGCACTGCTATTAACTTGTTTATTTCTATAAAAGGAAATATCTTTTTAAAACTTCCACATCCCTTAAATGCAACGATTTTTTTGATTGATTGATTTGAAAGTTTTTGTATTACTAGCACTTAGATAATAATATAACTTTTATGCTTTTGTTGATTACCTTGGCGTTTTGGTGGCCTTTTCAAACAATTGATTTGCACTTACGTTTTCCACCTTCGACACGCCATATTTTATATCATGATTTTTATACAGAAAATATAAAAACATATGTATATGTAACTATGTATGTATGGTCTTTTAAAAGTTGGTACTTTCTCGGCTTATTTAGTACACTTATTTTGACCATTTGGTACAAAATTAAAAAACTCATTTATCATCCCTGTTATAGCATCTTTAATATCCGATTTTGAAATAAACTTCAAGCAGCGGTACGTTACTCCATTAGCTTAAACGGGACATATCTCAAAATAAATACTTAGAACTAAATTTGTTGTTTAATATTATTAACTTACATTTTAAACACTCAAATAGGCCACTTAAATCGAAAGAAATTAAAAGCTTCTGCAATTTGTCATCATCAGAATTTTGGAAGTCGGTGCAATTTTCCTCGGTGGGGTTGTCCTGCTCGTGAAACATTTTGCAATAATTAGGATTTTACCACTTCCCGTGAATATGGTATACATACAACACATAAAAGTAATATTTACGTTTCACTTCCTTTCGATGCCGAATGTAATAAAAATAGCTGTAATTGAAATATAAAGTAAAAGAAATTACAAGGCTTGTGAGCAAACGACTCAATGCCCGACTTGAATTTTTCGCACCCCGCGGCAGCGAATATTTTTCTGATGCCCTAAATTAGCATTTTTATATTAAACATTTACAATTAAAGATAACTAAAGGGATATTCCACCTCTATGTATATGCGCTATTCTCCTTAAACGCCATAAAAACAACTACAAAGAATATTCGGCTGCGTAATACTTGTAAAGGCAAATAATTCACGTCGGTATTCGGAAACCTTTTAACAAATATGTATGTATACACATAATATTAACTTTTTACATTTCACTTTATTTGGTTTGTAAAATCTCTGACGCCTTGTCGCAAATGTATTATTCACCACATAAAAACAATATTTCTAATTCCACTTCGCTTTTATCTTGATTGAATTACCTAATAGAAATATAAGTCGCAATAAATATAAGCGAGAACACGACTAGTGGGCAAGCGAAGCAACGTTTTACTCGGAATTTACTGAAATGAACCGAAATACAGAAAAGCAACCAACCACCATTTTGTCCATGGTTGCCAACTCAAAAATAAAAATAGCCCAATCGAATTTTATGTCCAAAAGTTTTATATTGGTTGTATTTTTTTAAGTATCTCCGCTTCAAATTTGTATGGATTCGTAAGCGACAAATTTTATTTGCGGTTATGTATGAGGCCGTGAAAGCAGAAGTGGCCTAAACCAAAATTGTTTTGTTTGTTTTAACTACTTCAAATAGTTTCAACAAATCAGATAAATTTTAAAACAAAAATCGCATATTCTTTATTTTAAGGAACTGATTAATGTAATTTAATTTAAAATAAAGGAAGAAGCAACTTTTATTTTAAAATCTATAAAATTTAAAACATTTGTAGTTAAGTACAAACAAAAATTGAGTTAGGCCACTTCTGCTCTCACAGCCTCGAATAGTTGTCGATAAAATCAAAATATTTGTTTTTAAATGGAAATTGTCGATACGTGTTTCTGTTGGACCTTAAGCGTAGATGTATGTATATATGAGTAAAAAACGCGGTTATTATAAAAGTATAGAATTTAAGATGAAATCACATGCCTTAGAATGTAAATTTTTAGAAACTTAAATCTCTCTAAATATACATAGATGGCAACAGTGACATTTCATTGTTGCAGAAACGGAAAACCAGCAAAAAATTGCGTCAGTGATGCCAAGTAGACGAAAGGGATTTCCGCAAACTATCGAAGGGAAAAATACATAATGAAATATAACATAACTAAACATTAATTTAGCAGTTCGTTTTCAATTTAATTGCTTAAAATATATTGGTCTTGTATATTGATACACTTGTAGAGTTACGTGATACGATTGCTGAAGAAATTTTATAACCTCTTGAGTGAACATGATAGCCATTTTGTAAAGATTCAAGAATTCTGCAGTAAAAAATGTCAGTAAATTAATTGATACATTTTAGCGGCTCGCTTTCCACTATTAGATTAACCGATTAAGTTTTAATAGCCCATTGTTACTAGTCG